ACTTGTAATGAACTTTTTTTAGCCGTGGGATGCCCATTCAATTTAGCTGTGTGGTCACTGCTCATGCAGGTAAGTGTACTATCACGTCGAACGCGCACCCTTTGTCAGCATCACTGGTAGATTCACTCAGTATCTGCACATGCATCACTAGCTCTACACTACTGTGTACACGCAGAGTCTACACGGCCCTCGCAGATACAGTACTGACTGTCTCAGCATTCCTTGCATGCATTAGTTTGCTGACCCCCTCGATGTGTCTCCAAGCGCTGCTGCTTGTTCCACGAAGTCATTCTCACCCCAGCTAAGGTAAAACAATGATCAGTTTTGAGTGAATCGCTATGCTAGTAAGCACGAGAAATGTGCAGATTGCAATGCCTGACCGATCTCAGCGAGTCGAAAGTACAATCGCAGGAACATCAGCGAAGACATTGCATCTAGTTCAAAATTTTCAGATTCCAACAACAGAAAATAGAACTTTGCTGTCAACCTATACTGACGACTATCGTCTCATTAATCATAGCTTGCATAGACCTCGGTCCTACCGGTAGGACCTACCGGTAGGACCTACCGGTAGGACCATCATACACAGACATGCTGCATGGCCTCTGTTCTAACATTGACCTTAAACTTGACCCTAAGCTGTTGCTATGGGGCTAATGAAGGAGTCCATAAATTTTAGACGTGATCGCACAAGGAATACTACGAAATTCCATGGTAACAACCCATGGTAACCATGGAAACAGAGTATGGTATTATGCATTCCCCGGCCTTGGCAAGCTAATAAAAACATTAGGACCTCACCACAATTGATGTGCCATGGTCAAAATTCACTTTGGACAGAGTTGCTAGCGCACCGACAGGATTATGTGCGGCCATTTTGACAATCGATAAAATTGCGCATATGCAATGCACTGGACATAGCCTTGCATTTTGCGCCATTACTTTGCCTGACAAAGACCTCATCTCAACAATTGTTTAAAAAAATTTCTCAACCAAAAACACTTTTGCAGATTGATTTCTTGGGTCCTACCGGTAGGACGGTATGCAAGCTATCATTAACTGTGGTACAACTGCTGGTGATTATATACCCCGTTGTATTTCAAAAGTCAAACTGCGACAATTTCGATTACGCTTAGGAGGTAATTAACTTGATGTGACCTTTTTCTCATTTTTCTAAAACAAAGCCAAGTTCACGTACATTTTCGCAATTAACGCATCCAGTTCAAAAGACATTTCACATGAGGTATCAAGCGTTTTTCTTCCCTTTCTCTCCAGGATTATACAGGGAATGGCTTAAATGAAAATACTACAACATATAGCGAAAATGTCCTGAGATATAACTCTCTTGACCGGGTTGAGTTCTCAGAAGGAGATATAATAATTATAACAACAACAGCGTAGTGAAGAAATTATGTAGCATTATTCACACATCGACGAGGAATAGCATCAAACAATTGTACAGACAACACATTTTCTTTCTGAAAACAAAGCTCAGGATAAAACTTAAGTAAGTTTGTACAACGCTACTAACACATCCGAATGCATGCAAACAGCAGCTTTGCGTTTTGATCCACAGAATTCGCCTAGGTAAAATTCCCATTCATCTCTCCGTATTCAATTGGTTTTCTCTGTCCCGGTCCACTCGTAATAGTCTCTCACTTCCCCGTGCTAATTCAGCCGCATTTACCAACTCTCCTCTGTTTTTGTCCTACAGCCTTTGGCTGCAACTTCCCCAGCATGTTAAGACATCAACATGTCTTTCCAGCTTTAAAAATGCACTCCGATCGCATAATGTAGTACGATAGGATCTCATTGCTGGATTCTTGCCTATCCTTCTTTATTCTCTTTTTCTATATTCCTTTCTTTTCTTTTCTTGCCGTGGTTGGCTATCACCCCTCTCTCGCACTTTGCGTGCCAATTGGTCATGAACCACGAGTTGAGTGAAATAAATAATAAAATAAATAAATGCAATGGACCTCTATCACGTGACAGTACTGAGAAAACGTCATTACAGTACAACTACAATTAGCATGCGTGGACAGATGGTACCACTCTGGGCTCCTTTCTTTGTTGTCCCCTCCCGTGTCCATCTCTCCTCTACGTGACATCACAGTACCCATCTCATGGCCTGGTGACGCTCATTGTCCCTTCAGCTGCATCTCCTCCAGTATTATTCTTCATGGAGTTTCTCACTCTAGCTTCTCTAGTCTCAAAGTTCTGGTTAAATTACGCGGTCTTCCACATTGTCTAAAATCCACTGTTGTTATCACTTCTATTGTCATTGTAAGTCGGTCCTCTCCAGTACGTCTCACACTTGGCTTACTGTTGGAACGTTCTCCATTTGTTAGTGTTAGTCTTCGTTTAACATGTATATCACTCAGTATGTCGTAATTGGACACTGCTCGATTATTCTTACCTTGTGCGTTTCACTATTTGTAACGTGGCTCCTCTGCTTCAGTTTTCGTTTTATCTCTCTGGCAGGGGCAGCCACCACCCGTCTGGTGGGTGCCAGCATCCTCCATTACATCATGCATTATTTTCTGTCACATGTTTTGCTTTTCGCATGTCGCTCAAGATGTTTGAACTGCGCCCGCTGGCCGATTTTCTTTCCTTGCTGTTTTCTTTGCCAATCAAGCGTGGGGACGATACGGTGTCGTCCTCCTTGGCTGTGTGTCCGATACGGGGCCGGGTACATGCGTCCCAAGCTCTCCGTTCTTTGTTCTTTTTGAGTTAGATTCTTCAGTGGTGTTTTGAGAACATGTTTGGTAATACAGTCTTCTAAATAGATCAATGCCTCCAATGGTTGTGTTTAATGTCAGTGTGCATTTGCGAGGGAACCGGTGAAACATTTGGTCCTTCGAGCTGGATCCGACACGTTTCGACTGGTAGTGTCAGCGGTGGTAATGGCGTTTCCGCCAACACCAGAGTTTGTGACTCGTAGTTTTAACGCCACGCCATTATGGTACGAGCGTGTGTGAAACTCCTGTTGATGAACTTGAGAACCGCTGGAAAGAGTTGATTCGTCCCAGAACAAACCTTAGTAGACGCCGCACACCAATAAGTAACCGCTTCCGAACACTGATTGCTTGCTCGTCGCCGTCTCGCCGATATTTGCAGCCTGATGTCCGTGAATTGGAATTTGTACGGTCAGAGCTGAATTCGGTTTTAGAAATTATGCGCAGCATGTTGGAATCCTAAGGGAGTGAACAACTGCTGAATGAGTTGGACGAGTGGGAGGCGAAGTTTGATAAGGAGAGTGCTGGTGTGATGGCTGCGATTTTGGATTCGCCCGTTGAGTCTGTTTCTGGCCAACTGGCATCAGGCCAACAATCAGCAGTCGCAGAACAGGTTACCCCTGTGCCACAATTAACATCACCGCACATGCGGCCTGTGCCACCGATCCCAGCACCACACACACGGCCAACACCACCACCGAAGCCACGTGTAGTCTGAGCAGCAGAGCAACGTCAGTTGGCTATAGTGCTCCAATGAGTAGACTTTCTGAGTGGTTTCCTCATTCGGAACCTGGTGTGGAGCCCCAAGTGCATGATTGGCTTGTCAGTATGCAAAGCCCGCATGGGGTCAGTGCTTTACACCACTTGAAGCCGCTGGAGCTGCCCAAATTTAGCGGAAACGCGCAACAGTTTGTGCGGTGGTGTCAAACGTTCAAGCGGCTGGTGGATTAGGATCGCTACGTATCCGACGATTATAAGCTGGCTAGGCTAAAGGAGGCGCTCCAAGGAAGCTCGGCTGAGGACATTGTGGCCCAGATGTTTGACGGGCCAGGCGCATACGCTCCTGCTTGGGCAGAACTTGAGCAATGGTATGGGGGAGAAGACCGCCACCTGGCACTACAGGAGAAGGCAATCCTGAACCATCCCAGAATCGCAGACCGTGATTCAGAAGCCCTGCGGAAATTTGCTGTCAAGCTCAGAAATGTGCTCATGAACCTGGACTTGGCTGGAGGGAGCTATTCCTAAGTGCGGTAGAGAAGCTACCCAGAAGTGTAGTTATACGATTTCACGAACCACATCCAGACAGCAAATGCAACGCAACCACATTGTCGTTCTGGCTGGTAAAACGGGTCCAGAACGCGAGCCGATGACATCTTGGCGACAGTCGGCACAGAGAAATTGAAGAAGACACCTCCTGCGGTCCCGCCAAAGCCTAGGTCATCTGCTGTGTATGCTGTGGAGCTCAGTACTCAGCAGTGTGCCAAGTTCAGCAAGAGCCATGCCACAGCAGAGTGTCCAGAATTCAGGGCGCTGACAACCAAGCGCCGCTGGGACCTGGTCAAGCGTGCCAAGCTGTGTAGCTGTTGTTTGGAGCATGGACACTGGGCGCGTGAGTGCAAGAAGCTGGAACGTTCCCACTGTGAAGAGAGGAACCACTCACTTCTGCACTACAGCAAGTCAGTGCAGCCACAGCAAGCTGCAGCGCAGAATCCATCTACAATGCGGTCAGCAGCTCCGGCACCTCGGCAGGAAAGTTCTCACCATGCTAGTGTCAGCGTGCCGCAGACTGCCGCTTTCGCTACCGTGCCGGTGAAGATTATTGGCCCAACTGGCAAGTCGGCAATCTGTACGGTGGCCATGCTGGAATCAGGCTCGACTGCAAGCTTCATATGGGAGGATGTAGCCCATGAGTTGGACATGGCAGGTGAAGTTCACATGTTGAACACATCCACGACTGGTGCGCAGCAGACCTGCAGCTATCGGGAACTGGTCAAGGTGCAGATGGAATCCATTGATGGAACAGTGTCATACCCGCTCAAGGCATGCGTATATGATCATGTGACCAAGAAGACGCAGGTCGCCGACTGGAGCCGGTACACATCTAGCTATGAGCATCTGAAGTTCATATACTTTCCCGAAATCTCCAGCACCACGGTCGACCTCCTGATTGGTCTAGACATCATTAATGCCCACGCATCACTCGCAGAGCACAGAAGCAGCAGCGGTGGACCAATTGCCCGCAAGACGCATCTGGGATGAGTGTGTATGGGCCCAACGCCCAGTGCACCCAGTGATGACGAGTTGTCCGTCAACTATGTTCATGCTTTATACGGCGAAGGCAGCATAGACAGCCTGGTCCAGAATTTCTGGAATCTGGAGGCAGTCGGTATGAAGCACGAAGGCACCTACATCACCTCTGCAGAGAACCTGGCTGAGGAGATCTTTGAGAAATCCATCAGCTTCCATGATCAGCGAGTCACCATTGCAGTCCCATGGATCCACAGCAACGGCGAGCCTGGTGTCACCGCTAATCGCGCCATGGCAGACCATCGCCTGTGCATGCTAGGGAAAACAATGGACAAGCGTCCAGAGCTGAAGGCAGCATACGGCAAAGTCATATGTAGCCACATTGACAAAGGCTATGTGCGCACAGTGTTGGCAGCAGAGGTTGAGGCAGATGGCGACGACCAGTGGTTCCTGCCGCATTTCGCCCTTGTACGAGATGACAAGGCCACCACGAAGGTACGTGTCGTCTTTGATGCTGCTGCCAAGTATGACGGCACATCGATCAATGAGTGCATGTACGCTCGACCCGCTCTGCAGAATGACCTAGTGAAAGTGCTTCTGCGGTTCCGCAAGGAGCCAGTGATGCTCACGGCGGACATTACCGTGATGTTCCTGCAAGTCGTGCTGGCTGAGCAAGACCGCCGATATCATCGCTTTGTGTGGGACTCACGTGTATACGAGTTCGAGGGGTTGGTGTTCGGCATCAAGGCGTCTCCGTACCTGGCATGCAAGGCGCTACAAGTGGTGTGCCCCGAGACAGCCGACAAGTATGGCCCTGCCATGTTGCAGATCGTTGACCGAGACATGTATGTGGATGATCTGCTGCGCTCTGCTGTCTCCGTACTGGAAGCCATCCGCACACAGCAGACAGTACAGGACATCCTTGAGCAGGGCAGCTTCCACCTCCGCAAGTGGCTCAGCAATAGCTCGGAGGTGATGGACGGCGTACCGGAAGCTGACAGCTCACCGCAGCTCGCAGCTAGCATCAATGATCATGATAACTGTGTGCTACCATCAGTCAAGACGCTAGGCGTGATGTGGTCGGCAGAGGATGATACCTTCGCATTTGAGTTCAAGCCGCCTGCAACAAAGAAGCTGACCAAGCGAGCCGTGCTGAGTAAGATGGCATCTATATTCGACCCAGGCGGACAACTAGCTCCCTTCACGATTCGCTCTCGTGTCATGTTCCAGGAGCTGTGCATCCTCGGCGTGGGCTGGGATGATCCACTGGACGCTGAGCACATGCGGAGATGGACATCCTCGTTTAGCGAGCTGGGAGATCTGGCGCCGATCCGTGCGCCGCGCTGCTTCAAGTGTCCGGATCGCGAGTCGTCTGTCCCTACATTGTCGCTGCACGTGTTCACGGATGCTTCAGATGCCGCCTACACCGCTAACGTGTACGTTCGTGCTGAGTACCCAGATGGCAATGTGCGCGTGACCCTAGCACTCGCCAAGGCGCGTCCATGTCCCATTAAGAAGATGTCGATCCCGAAGCTGAAGCTGGAGCTGAAGGGTGCTATGCTTGGTGTTTGCCTGGCCCAGACAGTGAATGACGCGCTAGATCTGCCGAAGGCTGATGCCACCTACTGGTCCGACTCGATGAACGTGCTTCGTTGGGTGAGAACACATTGCAGAAAGTTTAAAGTCGACGTGGGCAACCGGGTAGCTGAAGTACAAGAGTATTTAGCTGGCAGCCAGTGAAACCATGTTCCTGGAAAGCTGAACCCAGCCGACAAGGGCACCAGAGGCTTGACAGCAGCCAAGCAAGCCAGTGATTCAGTATGGTGCAGGGGCCCCGAATTCCTCGTCCAGCAACACAATCAGTGGCCCTCTCGTCAGATAACCGTGCCAAAAGAGTTGCCCGGAATGGTAAAGCGAGCGCAAGTGATGGCGTTCGCTGTGCAGCAAGTTTCAGCGGAGGTGTTTCGTCTCCACCCCGACAACTACTAGTCATGGAAACGACTAGTAAGATTGATGGCCTGGTGCTACCGTTTCATCAACCGGTGTCGTCGACGCCATGCTAGCACGAGAGGGGATCCGGAAGCAGCAGTTACAGCAGTCGACTCTGTGGAGCTGAAGCCTGAGGAGCTAACGTGCCGAATGTCACTGGTATGCGATTGCACAAGCAGAGAGCTATCCCGCTTCGTATCGGCAGATGACGTCAGGGAAGCCGCTGCTACGGCTGAATCCAGTGCTCGACAAGGACTACCCATGTGTGCTACGCGCTGGAGGTCGTCTGAAGACTGCCAGCCACTTGCCTGAGCATACCCGGCATCCGATAATCCTGCCCCAGCACCATCGGGTTACTCAGTTGATAGTCGACACCGAAGATCGCAAGTGTGATCACAGTGTGGGCCCAAACCAACTCTTGGCAAACCTGATCCTGCGGTTTTGGATCATCCGTGGCAAGGTTGTCGCACGATCTCACCGTGCACACTGCGAGCTCTGCAAGAAGAAGTGGGCCACTGTGGCTTTGCAGCAGATAGCACCGCTCCCGCTATTCCGAACAGCTCCACCGTACCGGGCATTTTCAAGAGTGGGAGTTGACTATGCCGGTCCGTTCCGGACAAAACAAGGACGTGGCAAGACTCAGCTCAAAAGGTACCTCTGTGTCTTCTCTTGTTTGCAATCCTGAGCCTGTCATTTCGAGATGGCGTATTGCCTGGACAACGAGTCGTTTCTGCTAGCATTCACCCGTTTCTGCAAGTGCAGAGCCGTGCCAGCTGAGGTCGTGTCAGACAACGGGACAAACTTTGTCGGTGCAGAGCGCGAGCTAAGAAAAGCCGATCAAGCGCTAGGTTCTAATGAAGTGGCCGCAAGTATGGCCAGCCAAGGAGTTCACTGGAGCTTCAATCCACCTCTCGCTCCGCACTTTGGCGGCGTATTTGAGTGTGTGGTCAAGGCAAAAGAGCGCAATGATGGAAACTCTGTCCCAGGCCAATCTCACTGATGAGGACTTGTAACTGCCATGGTGAGTGCGGAAGGCCTACTCAACTCGCACCCGTTGACCGCTGTCCAGATTGACGTGGATGATGCCGCACCGCTAACACCGATGCACTTCCTAGATGGACAGTGCGAGCTGACTCTGCCACTCGAAGAAGTCGCTGAGTTGCACCCACAGCGTCGTTGGCGGCTCCTCCAACAGCTCCTACGCGAGGTATGGCGGCGATGGCTTCGAGAAATAGTGCCTCGGCTGAATGTGCTTCAGCAATGGTCTCGACGCAGCCGCAACATCAAGCCCGGTAACATTGTCCTCTGCATTGTGGCTTGTGGCTTGCCGCCAGTGACTATCCAGATATGTTGATTTTATTGTATGCTTTTTCTCATAGGTTTGACAGATTGGTGCCGTAGTGTACTCCAGTCGGCTCCGCTCGAGCTTTGTTGCGGTCGTGAATGAAATTACTTGTTTCTGTACTCCAAGCATCCTCTGTAATATAATGGATAATGACTCTCCCTTCCTCTTCTTCTGGCACGCACCAAATAATTTGGTTACGAGAGTAGCGCCACCAACCATGCCCGATTTGTAGAGTGTGGTATAAAGTGCTTTCTTAACTGTATCTGGTCAGGCGTAGTTGTACAATCGAATATGCTCCAGCTTGTAGTAATTGTGCTATTTCTTTACACCTCTACAGGCAATGTTTGCAGTTCCAGTACTTTTGTGGGGTAGGGTACTACACTAGTTCCGCTTCCAGTATATCCATTGTACAGCATCGGTGCATTATTTGTGCGGCTGTGGATGAATCTACAAATTCGTGTAAGCGAAGCTATCTTTGTGAACGCGCGTATGGCACACTGTGTGCTGGTGGCATAACTGTGTTTCAGAATGAGTGTGCTCCGTGTTTAGAAGAGTATCTCTTTGTCGTTGTTACTCTAATCGTGTGGCACATTCACACTACAAATCTACGAGTGCTAGTTTGAAAATACGAATTTGAGCAATTGTTACGTTGTACAGCAGGTACAAACAATTAATATTTACATACTCACCGGTTTTCGTTTCGGAGTCCCGCGCTGTGACTCAGCTAATTTCTATTTCGTTTGCCTTGTATTGTCTGACTAGGGGCGCTGCCACCCCGTCGGGTGCAAGCACCGGACAGAAGCACTTCACTTCACGACAAGTGTTCATTTTCGTTTTCCTCTTCTGCTTCTGTTGCACAGTTTGAACTTTGAATGTGTGCCTTTTTCGTACTCTGCTCTCGATCAAACTAGTCGCTGATCGATCTGCATAATTATTTATCTCCCGTTGCCATGACTGGCATTAGTACAGCGTTACGTACTCACTCGCTGCTTGGCACGCTTGCAGCGGGTCTTTCTTCTGTTGCAACCCAGTGCCTGCATGCACGGTACGGGATTTGCGATGCCACATCAGCGTTGGTGTGTCGTTGTGCTTCGTTGTTGTTTTCTTTTCGCTGAGTGTGGTCGTTAAAACTGAGAAAGAACGGATCGTTGACAAGGCGTGGTTTTGATGTGCATACTATTGGTGTCGGGGTCCCAACGCATCCCAACACTCAACAGTATACTATCAGTTATAGTTACATTACATTATATTACTGAAACGGAAAGCCATCTTTGTCTCCAACCAAAGCAACAACTCGCGGAGCAACCAAAGAACAACTAAACTGAAAGAAGAACCACATGGTTCAAAACCAATACACAAACCCGGCCTGTATCGCGTATGCCAGCGACACATGCATGAAAGCAAGTACAGAATGCAGAAAAGTAGGAAAAGTGCGTAGCGTTCACACCTGTATGCTAACCCGCACTACAACTCGCGTACTATACAAGGGACTAGTACTGCGCAGTAGGCACGCATTCAAATAAGCTGTAGACATGCATGCACTGCATAAATCTCCAAGTCCTTGTACAAACTGTGCAGTGCTGCAAAGGTACAAGTAAATAAATATCAAACAAATATCAATGTGCAGGTCAGCGACATCCTCCCCACCAAAACCTTGTGCAGGTTTTACAAGTCCAACCATTGCCTGTCGCTATACGCTGGGCGAGCGGAGAAGGTAGCGGATCATCCCACTTGCCTTGTTCCTTCCAGGCCTCTTGCAGGAGGATCTTGCCTGTCAATACTGCCGGTGACACCGAGTCGAGCGGATCAAATGTCGCTGCTATGCACTTCAATAGGGTGCGCCTCGTCCATGTCTTCCAGAGTGGCAGTTGACACTGCATCGCTACGTGAGAGGGAGAGTGTGCCGGCTGTCAAACACTAGGAGTTGCCGAGGGCATTGCCTGTAGCTGCTGAGGTGCTATGGTTGTTGCTGCTGCCACTGCTGCTGCCACTGCTGCTGCCACTGCTACCATTGCTACTGTCATCATGAAGCAGGGTATGGTGTTTGTTGCCACACTTACTGCAAGTAACACTACTATCACACATTCTCCGGCTGTGCCCTGTCCGCAGGCAACGATAGCAAAGGCCATTGGTTTGCGCATGCTCGCGCCGCTGAGCAACAGGCATTCTGTGGAGCTTTTTCTCATCATCCGCAGTGGACAGCGTGAAGCACTGTGCTGATGCACCCTCGGGCTCCCAGGCCATGGGTTTCTGGTCGGACCCAGAACGTACACCATGGGCTTCCTGATACGCTGTACCCAGTTCCGTGATCTCTTCCAACGTTTTCTCGCCGATCTTGTTTTCCAGCAAGTACGCACAGAGGTGAAGCGAGCATCCCTGGAGCACAAATTGGCGGACGATTGCCATGAACATCTCACTGTTCCCACTGCTCTGCTTCTGGCCCTGCGGCCCTCCAGATAGCGATGCCCACTCTTGCACCTGTTGCACTACATGGGCTACGTACCGGAAAAACGTGTCCTCCGTCTGCTGATGCAGAGACAAGAGCTCAGACCACGTCTTCTCGGCAGTCTTGCCAAAACTACGTGTCACTTGAACTTTAGCGCTTTCATAAGTTGTGACATAATCCAGCACCGGTTCAAGCTTTGTCCCCATCGCAGCCGAACGGAGGGCCAACAACCATGTCGATTTTTCGTAGCCATTTTGCTGAACAACAGCCTCAAATGTTATCAAATAACGCCGGATGTCCTGTTTGTCGGTGTATTTCGGCACGTCCAACTTGTGGGGGCGCTTCTGCGCGTCGTTACTGCCACTACCACTCGCAGCCTGGAGTTTTTCTATTTCTTTCCTACTGTCCAGCTCCTTCTCAGCAATTCTCTCTGCACGCTCTTGTACTCTCTGGTCCCTATCGGTTGCTTCGGTGAGCTTGCGCTCCACGAAAGAGACCAGTGCCTCGCCAGAATACCCGTAATCCTTGCCAAGCTTTAGGTAACTCGTCTCCAGCTTCATCCATCCAAAAGCCTCAGCGCTTCCACCAGCACCAGGCGATTTCTCTTCGGCTTCGGACTCGGCCATGCTAAGCTAGCACTCTACGATGCACGATTCAAATTTTACTGGTCGGTCGCCAAATATTGGTGTCGGGGTCCCAACGCATCCCAACACTCAACAGTATACTATCAGTTATAGTTACATTACATTATATTACTGAAACGGAAAGCCATCTTTGTCTCCAACCAAAGCAAGCAACCAAAGAACAACTAAACTGAAAAGAAGAACAACATGGTTCAAAACCAATACAAAAAACTCGGCCCGTATCGCGTATGCCAGCGACACGAGCATGAAAGCAAGTACAGAATGCAGAAAAGTAGCTTGCATGAAAAGGGCGAAGCGTTCACACCTGTATGCTAACCCGCACTACAACTCGCGTACTATACAAAGGACTAGTACTGCACAGTAGGCACGCATTCAAATAAGCTGTAGACATGTACTGCATAAATCTCCAAGTCCTCGTACAAACTGTGCAGTGCTGAAAAGGTACAAATAAATAAAATCAAACAAATATCAATGAGCAGGTCAGCGACAATTACAGTGCGTATCGGTTAAAAGCGTTGTCGTGTAAAAGAGTATACTGCCTACAAGAATGAACTCTCATGTTTTCATAATCATAACATGGATTTCCTGTGCACATTTATTCTTACAAGCAATTTTATGGTACAGTAGAATATATCGCTCCTGAGAATGGACTTTGTGTAGCGAAACATGCCAGATCAGTACAAAGTATATCGCCTGTAGTAATAACATCCGTCCAAAGCAGTTCTGATCTGACTTGCGTTGGGTCGTAGTGCTGCAGGTTCAACTATTGTGTTCATGTAACTCATGTTGCATAGCCACATGGTAAGCCTATGTGACTGTGACCAGCCGCATGCACAGCAGCACTACCTTGTATGTGCGATGATCTTCCTGCCTCTGCGCACATGCACATGATATGTCACACTTGATTTATGGTGTGTAAGAAATATCGGAAATAAGAATAGAAAGTCGTTTTTCAAACACCCACGCTATACCCGATACCTACTGTACTATTTTTTTAAAGCATTAGTAGATTTTACCAGCACTACACTTTTCATAACCAGAAGTTCGCAAAAAACCAAGGTTGAATTTTTTAGGGAGGTGCACATGCCCCCCGTGCCCATCACGGGTGACACCCCTGTCCTTCGATCCGGATGGTGGACTTAGAGACAGAGCGAGCTGAGAGCGAACAGTGAGTTCGAAAAAGCAGGAGATTAAAAGGCATTCCACCAGCAAGGGATGAGGCAGAAGGCTTCGAATTCCCTTCGTTGGCA